GCTGATCATACAACCCAAGTAGCAAAAGTCCTTGACAGCATCAAGGGATTTACCCTCCAGAGTGATGCCAGGCGTTGGTTCTTCCACCCCCTGGTACACAATTTGATCACAGTCTTCTTGAGACTAATTGTCAACCCGAAGCTCAGGGAAGATTGACTGTGGACAACCAAGGCTGCATCATCCGCAAACAGGAAATCTCTCAGAAATAGCTCTTTCACCTTGGTTTTTGCTCTAAACCTTGCAGTGTTGAACAAGCCTCCATCTGGTCTGGTTCAAAGATGAATGCCATCATTGCTATCCCTGAATGCATGAAGAAGTAGGAATGAAACGTGGTAGATGGGGCAGGGAGCAGAAAGCACAGGGCAGGAAGCAGAGCCCCAGATTGGGCAGTGGAAGGTAATTGAAGTGACACATAGAGAGGGTGTGGGGGAAGTCTGGCATGCCTGCTGAAAAGGTTGCCTCCTACTGTTCTAGTTATTGAGATATAAAAGTAGCCCAAGCAAGGACTTCACTGGCCAGGTATCTGTTTCCCTTCTGTCAGATCTAGTGTAGTCTGAAATATTGCTTGGAGCTGGGCTCATCCTGTTATATTTATGTCCTGGATGACTGATTCTTGGCTCTGTAGGTAGAAGTCACTTTTGCAAACATCTTGTACGGCTGTTTTGAGTCCTAGTGTTCTGAAGGCACTTGTATACTTGATGCTTCCTGCAGTGGGCAGGTATACAGCTAAGTCAATATTAGTATCACTGCCTATAGGAGGTACTTGTCATCAGCAATCCCCTTTCTGTCCCTGGTCATGCGTACCTCCCTGTTTGGACTCTTTTTAGGCTGTACCAGCCTCAGATTGAGTTAAATGATCAGGTCTCATTCATGAGATGAACTCAAGAGATGCGGTGTCACAAACTGTCAGAGCTCAGTCTCGTACCCTTGCCGTGTGCTCTGTTAGGACTGAAAGAAAGTTGATGTTAGTCAGATGCAAGAAGCACAGAGACCCTGGAGAAGGCTTTTATCAAAAAGCCTATCCTATCCCTCTCCTTCACAAGCCTTGCTAGTATATAAATTGTCCTTTGGTGTCCTGCCTTGCCAAGAGTCCCCAGAGTTGTTCCTCTTAAACTGCTTGCCTACCAAATCGAAGCAGCCATCCCTGCTCCATAAAATGGTAACTCCTATGAAAGAGTTACCTACCGTTTGTGCTGCCTTGGCAGCTTTCAAGACTTTCTGTGTGAAACAATGCAACAGTGATTTCTTCAGAAATCTCTTGTAATCTAACTCGCTGCCAATTTTGGGTGCTGGTAATATCTGCCGTTGAGTATCTCTTGGTTTGGCTTCTGCAGTTCAGGGGCGAGGGGAACTGGCATGGTGTTTACTGAGCTAATAAACTTCTCACTAAACAGAATTCATTGGCTCTCGCTGGCTAATAACCAGGGCCTCCTGCTCCATGCACTAACAGTTGGCTTCATACGTTTCAAAACAAAGCTTTACTTGAAGTGAAAACTTTTTCTTTCAAATAAACCTCAGGTTTTAGTGACATTTTAAATATTCTCCATCACCTTCTTCAGATGTCAGAAATCCTATAACTATGGGGCATATTGCAGAATATACTTTTTACAGTCCTCTGGCTCCAGGAGCCCTCAAAACTCTGCTTGACTCAGAAGCTTTGCCAGTGTAACTTTTGATCTGCAAGAGCCCTTGTCTCTTTAAACCTGCACTAACAAGGTTTTGTTTCCCATATTCGTATTTCAAAGTCTCTACAGATTATTCTGTGTCTATAGGCAGTCACTGTCCTTGGGGCTGCTAGGTGGGCGAGAGCTGAAGTAATACCTTTTTTTTTTTTTTTTTTTGGTTACAGAGTTTGAGATGAATTCCATGACCTTTCCTATGTCCCCAAGTTGAAATCAAGACTGTTCTTTTCTGAGGAGAGGAAGCTTCACCTGAGCAGGTTTGTTTGAAATGTGTACTGGTTTAGCAGCAATATTTCCCCCTCTCTCATAGCAGGAGGGTACTTCGGTGTGTGCAAGTTTGTTCTGCAGATGGTCCTTCTTGTAGGACTGTAGCATTAATGACTCGGATGAGCTCCAGATCTTGTGCCTTTACCTAATGCAGTATAATTTTGCAAACACATGGAATGTGCTCAATATTTAGTTTCTAATGGGGGAAATGAAATGCTCTTAAACCCCAAAATGACTGGCTGTTACATGATGTGCATGTGGCACCTGTTGTCTTTCAAGCAGGGGAGCGGTTAGTCCTAGGGGCTGGAGGTCAGTTAACTTGAATTTCTGTTTCTGGTCTACCACTAACTTGCTCTGAGACCTTGGGTAAACGATTTGACATACCTTAGTTTTCCCATTGGCAGGACAGTAGCAGCAATGTACACCTAGCTTTTGGAAATGACTTTGCAGTCTGCAGCTGAAAGGTGCTATGTGAACATGAAATACTAACCAGTTATTGTTAATAAGCAGTTATGGCAGGCATCTTGATGGGATAAAAATTGCTTTACTGCAGCCCTACACTTACTGGATATACATGCACAACAATAGCTGTTTCCCTTGTATATATATTTGGGGAGGGAGGGCAATTACAGAATTTTAGAAAGGTGGAGAGCAGTTATACAAGGATCAATGAGTTGTTACCAGAAGAAGCTTTCCTGGTACAATATACTTCAGAGCTAAGTCAGTATTTTGAATAAATAAGAGGATAGTGAATACATGCATAGAATAATTTGGAGTTTCTTAGTTGCCCTATGTCCCATTTCCTGTCGTTCAAGGATTTTTGTGGTTTAGATTGAGGGTTTTATTCCATTGCTGTGTGGAGAAGTTGCATTTTTATTAATTGATTTGAGGAGCTAATAGAATAAACCTTTGTTCAGTCAGGCGCAGGGTTTACGGTTCAAAAGCAGACATGAGTTTATTAGGCCAACTCTCATATACTTTGTTGTAATGAAGTATAGTAAATACCTCTAACTGTTTAGACAAATTGCATCTAAATATTAGTGACAGAGAAACTAAGAAATTCCAGTGTGAAGATAAGCAGTCTTTAATGTAGGGAATTTACTGAGCTTTTAGTTTTTAAACAAAAAAGTACAATACATTTTATATTTGGGCTTTGGATTTCCTACAAGCTCCTTTCCCACAAACCTTTTTTGTGAGTTAGTGTGGCCATTCCTGAAGACTATTTATCTTCTGTCCACGGCTGCTGTTAGACATCTGATGTGATTTAGGGAAGTGAACACTTGGATGGATAATATAGCAGTAGTGGCTAATTTTGAAGCAAAGGGGTCATGAAGCAGGTTTACTGAGAGGATGCCTAATAGGGCTGTGCGAAGCTTTGGTAGTCGATTTGATTTGGAGGAGATTCAGCCCCATTCCCCCCCCTCCACCCACCACAACAGACTTACCAGCTGGAGGCAGCTGTGTCCAACATGGTGAGGCCTGCTGCCTGTTTAGTCTATGGCCGAATCTCTGAAGCGGCCCTGAATTTTCATATCCGATTCAGCCAAATCGAATTGGGACAGTGATTTGAATCTCTGAATTGAATCACTGTCCCTCCGAATCGGCCGAATCTGAAGTGAATACTTGCTGCTTTGCATAGGTCCAATGCCTAAGATGCTCTTGTGGGCACAAATCCAGTAGCAACCTGTAGAGCGCTTGGTTGGAGGCCTTGATTTGAGGGTTAATTTGACTTGGAGCCAAAGCCAACAGGGAATGGGTAGGCTTAATCTAGAAACCCCAATTGTCTGTTTCCTTTGATTCAGACCTGTTAGAGAGAGATCATGCCCTGTTGGAGTAGGTGAGTTGCCCTGGGCCTGTGTTTTACATGCTGGTGTTCATGTTGGCACTGCCATTCAGCTGTGAGTAGGAAGGTTCATCTAAAGGTAAAAAACCCCAAATAAACAGGCAGCCATCCTCACCCCAATTCTTTCAGTAAATTGAGCTTTTCAAACTGCGGAAGCACACTGTACAGAAGAGGAATGCTGGCCTCCTCGGGACCCTCTCTGCCCGTTAGTAGTTGTTACTTAGATACAGCATTTTACTTTAAATTGATCTGCAGAATGCCTGCCACTCTGTGTCCTTCCTGGTTTTTCAGTGCACTCCAGCATGTGAATGAGTGCTCCCCTACTTCCACTGGTGAGGACTTAGGCCCCACTGTGCCTTGTCTTGTACCCAACTGCCTGCAAGGTTGGAGACTTCAAGACCTCACAAGACTGAAGTCTGTCTGCCTCTGCTTTTTTAGCTTCCTGTTGGCACCAGTTCCAGGGCAAGATGGTGATTCAAGGCTACAGAACAGGGCTCCTGAGTTATTGGAACTTGTCGTCTAACACTCCATGCTTTCCTCCGTGCATTTTGCCTTTCCAGGCATGCCAGATTGGAATGACCTTCTTTTTAGCCTGGCATCCTTTGTCTGACAGTGCCAAATGCCAGATGCTTCAGGGGACAGGACAAGCAAGCCAGACTTGTGGGTTGTTTGTCTGTTACTATAAGTCATCCTGCAGGCAGGATATAAATCTAAGCAATAAAAATAAACATCTAAAGAATAACTTGCTCATAGGGGAACTTAGTGGTTGGCTTGTGCCCTCGGGTGAGAAGGCTTAGTATTTTGTTTGATGTAGTTGAGCACTCTCATCTTTGCAAAATGTCCAGACCTTTCTTAGAGGTTGTGAGACTGAATCTTGTGCCAATGACTTGCGCTAGTATTTTCTTCTCATTAGGTTTTAAATATGGTTTCACTTTCCTCTCCATTGGCTGTTCCCTTGTTTTTGTACTACCTTTTACGGCGTTGACTGTTTTGCATCCCACTGTCATCTCCCCTTTAAACTAAGCAGCCCCATTTTTTTTTTATTCCCACTTATACCGAGGTCTCTCTATGCTGCTGATAACTTTGTGCCCATATCTCAGTCCTTTCTGTTTCTGCTAGATCTGGAATTCTGTTGACTGGAGCATCTAGTATGGACTTTTGCAAGAGGTGTCTGAAGAGGCAGTCGGTGTGTTAGACTTGTATTGGGATGCTGTGACAGGTTTCAGAATTTTTTGCGTTCAGTAACTCGGTGTTTAAACTCTTCTCTCTTTTTTTTTTGTGCACTAAAGGGAAGAGGCTGCAAGGATAGACTGTAATAGCAATAACAGCTGGTCTTTTCCAGTCAGTACAGGGTCAAGCTCAATAACCAAGTACCATAAAATGTCTATTGCAAGACAGAATAAGAACTCTGTATCTTTTTTCCCCCTTATCCCTACCATCCTTCAGCAGCTGAAACCTTTTGTCACCTGCATAATCAGTGTCTTGCTGTGTATCAGGTATCCAGGTATCTTGCTATGTAGGCATTTTTCTGGTAACTGCTTGGAAGTCATTTCTAGCAACCCAACATGAAGGAGAGAGTCCTAGCCAGCTCCTTGCCAGAGATGAGCAAGACTGTTCTTGATATACAAATCAATTTTATGCAGGACAGCGTCCACTGGGTTAGGGGAGGGAAGTGATGTATTATTATTATAAGTTGCTAATTCTTTCCCAGTCGGTCAATGTCCAAGACTTCTCAGCATTTTGAAACAGTATTTTATTGACCTAAGGATGGAGGTCTCATGTTTGGCAGTCCTGACTCCCTGAGACATTGGTTTTCCTGTTGCTAGAATATTCTGTTTTGGCAGGAGTGCATTTAATCTGCTTTATTAAATGGATATAATTTAGAGAAATGCTGACTCCATGCCCTTACACCTGGTGAAAATGAAAAAGATGGTGGGTGAGAGAGGATGATACACAATAACTGAACACACATTGCATGTGGAAGGAGACCCTTGGCCCTCCATAATACCATTACCCGAATAGTCTTACCTGAACACTTGGTCAGTGTCTCTCATGTTAGATGGGGAGCTTTGCAGCTTACTTGTAGTTATTTTCTGTATTAGTGTTAAATAGCAAAATACATTTTTTTTAAAAAGGAAGAAAAGAAGTACAAGCCAGCATTATCCAGCAGTTTGAGCACAGGAAAGAAAATCCAGCTTCCAAGTCCTGTTTCTAGCTCTGACTGGCTTGCTCTGTAACCTAAAGGCATGTCACATAACCTTTTCAACTGTGGTTCACCCCCACTGGAAACCACGTATAATTTCATTATTCTCTGCAAAGTGGTTTGCTCTGAACTCAGCTGATGAAAAGTGCTGCATCAGTGTAAGAATTTCAGATACATCCTATGGCCTTTGAAACTGTTAGAGGGCTGTATGTAAGCTCTTTGGGTCCTGAACTGTCTCCGTAGATATTTTCCCTGGAGGGGCACTTGAGGTAGTACCACAAAGCAAATAATACTTGAGGTTTGCAGGGGATTGCTTTTTATGACAGTCAGGTTTTAGTAAGGGAATGCAGTATTGGATCCAGGCCTAGAATCAAACTGTTCTAGAGATGGGTTGGATCAGGGATAGGCAGCTTCCGGCACAGGTGCCAGAGCATGGCACACAAAGGCATTTTGCTTGGCACATGTGCCTCAGGGCGGATTGCAGGGAAGGGGCTGGGCCTGTGCTCCCACAGCAAGCATTGGGCTCCTCATGGCCCCACACCCTTTCCACCATCTGCCCTTGGCACACCAACATCTTACAAGTTGAGGTTGGGGTGGGGTGTTTTTGGTACTCTGCCCCAAAACGGTGTTTAGTCTGCCCTGGTGCCTCTAGGCAGGAACGCTGTCAGGACCTTTCTGGTCACTAGCTGTCATTTTAGCTCTTTCTGAAACAATGGCCTTTTCTTTACCTTGTCTGTCCTATGTAGTCATTATGGGGTCAAATCATGTTGTACCCACTTGCACATGACCTTCCTGTTAGACGGACCCAGTGGACTGCAGAGCCCGTGAGGTTCACCCAAATTTATGGCTTATTTGCATGGGGATGCTTAGGAGATTTAATGCAAACTAACTAAAGTTGTGAATGTAAAGTAAATTAGTTCAACTGCCTTGTGCCCTTGTGTGTATGCTCTTATTGAGAATTAAAATGGTCTTAATTCACTGATTTAAGATAGGTTAAGGCAACTTTAATTCTGAATGAGCATGTGTCCATAAGGCGATGGACAGCCCACTTTGAATTTTTAATATTAGTTGATTTACATTTATTTTCAGGAATGTCTTCACGTAGACGAGATTACTTTCTACCCTGTGGAGCAGTGGGAGTCAGTTCTGTCCCATTGCAAGCTGGCCTGCAGCTGACCCTTTCATTGAGGGTTTCTAGCCTTTGATTGGCATTAGCAATTGAGTATGTGTGGCTCATTCCATTTTTCTTCTCTCAGAGCACCCTTCCATACCTCTAATGCTGTTGCAACCTCTAAGCTGCTTGCTCTGGCTTCATTTGCTGTACAAGACAAACTATTTAGTGATTTGCATCATTTCTGAAGGGGGAAAGTCACATTCACATCAATTTTTAGAGAAGCTGATTTTTTTTTTTTTCCATCTGGCTGCCTCTGTCAAGTGAGTGCCAGGCAAAGTGTGTGTGGAGGTGGGCATGTGATGTATAGCTAGAGGTGCAAAGATTTGCACAGTGAAACTCGGCTTGCTCATCATTTGGATGTGAAAGCAAAAAAATCAGTAAAGTTTCATGCACAACTATTTTTGAGGCAGAACTCAAGCAAAAAATGTTTGTCTCTGGGTAGGCATATTTTTCTACTTTGTGGTCTTGTCACATTTTTTCTATGAAAAGTAAAACTAATCACAAGGGCCAAATAAAGTCTTATAAACCCAGGCAGGGCAAACACTACTTAATGAAACTTGCTGGCTTAGTTCAACTCAAGGAGCACTGCACCATCTGAACTCTTGACTGGCAGGTATTGCCCTGCTCTCTTTATTTCACTGTGTTCCTCTGAGCTGAGTTGCCAAATGAAAATGTAGGTAGACGTGTTATAATCCCTTGACTGATTTCTGTAAAGAACCCATAGGCCTGGGCCCTTTGAGTTGCTTCTGCTGGAATTTCCAGTCGGTTGATTCTGCATGTTAGGAGCAATGGGGACAGAGCGA